AAAAAAATCGCGCCAAGTCTACGTTCATAAGATTATTAAGAAAAAAAAATTAGTTTTTTTCTTTACAAAAAGATAAAATAAAAAAATTAAAAATTCCAAGTAACCGATATGATTGTTTATTATTTTCGGAAATTAAAAAAAATTTTTTTGTAAATTTAAAAATTAAAAAAACAATTTTTGAACGTATTTAGTGTGCGTTGTTGCGAAATATTTTACTTTTGATTAAATTCGTAAAATCTATTTACTAGGACTTTAAAAAAATTGAAATGCACAATATGACGCACACCAAGTACGTTCCAAAATTTTTTTTTTAACTTTTAAATATAACAAAATTTTTTTTAATTTCCGAAAATCATAAACAATTATATCGGTTACTTGGATTTTTTAATTTTTTTATTTTAAATCTTTTTGTAAAGAAAAAAACAATTTTTTTTTCTTAATAATCTTATGAACGTGGACTTGGCGCGATTTTTTTACAGTGAAACTGTTTTTGTTCGGATTTTAGTATTTTTTGTAATTAAAATAAAAAATTACAATGGGTACCAAATTAAATCTCGCGTTGGCTGCATTTTTTATAGCAAACTATCCCCTTGAAGCTACAGTTGATGTAAAAATAATTCCAGCGCACCCTGGCGGGTGTAGATGCAAGCTGTGAAATATCTTTTTTTAACTGTAGTTTCCCATCTAATGAAGGATTACTATGCATTCTCGAATTATTTAGTCTGTGGCAGATCACTTTGCCCATTGAAAAAAAGTCAGGATCGAAATTTTTGCGTTGCTATAGTTTGTGCTGATTAAATTTAATAATTTCAAGTAGATTAATTGTTATAAGTGAATATAATTAATTGATAACAGTAAAATAAAGTATGAATTATTGTTATAATATACAATTTAGGAAAAAAAAAGTACCGTAGAATTAAATAAAATTTGCAACCTCAAAATACCGTTCTGCTTACAGTAAACACAGTCGGTAGTCTGGCGCTCCATTTACAACGGATTTGAACGGAACTTGGCACCAGATTCTACCGAATCTGTGGATTTCCATCTCCTACTCCACAGGCGTCCTAGGCCGAGGCAGTGACACTAGATAGTCCAGGAGGAATCGGCGCATGAGTACCGAAAACTATTCGACCTCAATTTTTTTATGCGATCCTCTTCAAATTGCCCTTCTAATGATTTAAATGCATGTTGCCATGGCGCAACCCGGTGCCATATTGTTTAAACCGAAATTGTTTAAACAATTGCAAGGAATTGTTATTTTTCAACCGGACAAATTTTTTTCATATTCTTTATTGAAATACCAATAAAAAAGGTCCTATGACTTTTAACGATAAAGTTAATATTTTTAAAGATATGAATTTTTAAAGGTTCGAAAAATCTCAAATTTGGGTACTTTCGACCCATGAAAAATATATTAAAAAAAAACATAATGTCTAAGTAATATTTTTTTTTTAATTCTCTATACAATTTTTAATAATATTGTTAAAAGAGATTTTAAAAAATTTCATTGTTTATATCTTTTTTTTAAATGTTAATTCCGCGCGCTCGCAAGTATGCGTCGCTTACCTCTAAGTATCGCTGTCTCTCTCTGACTCACGCGTTGCGTAGGCCTCTCTGTGTCTCGAATCATTATTTATCATTTATCTTAAAAACTATCAACTTTATCAAGATTGTTAAAGAAAGCAATGTTATTAATAATTAAATTGTCTACAATTTGTTTTTAATAAATTTTTTTCTGAAATCAATTTTTCAAAAGTTATTTAAGCATAAATCGAAACATGTAATTAAAATTACTTTTTTATTAGTTTATATTACTTTTTTGTTATTAAAACGGAAAGTAAAGTAAAAGACCCAGTTATTGACACTGCATTAGTTGTTTGACACTTGCAATTTTATTCTAATTAAAAGAATGAAATGTTCTCAAAAAACCAATTATCTTAAAATTTATAATTCAAAAATTATATTTATTAATTTATTAGAATTGATTTGTTTTTTTTTTAACTAAAATAAAATTGTAAGTGTCAATAACTGGGTCTTTTACCTTAATTACATTGAATAACTTCTTCAAACGAAAGTTATAGATAGAGAAGTATGAAATAATAAAACAAGATTTAAAAATAAGTATTTATTCATTATCAACATCATTTTTATATATTATATTCTTACAGTCTTCTGAATCACAACCACATAGAAGTATGCAACTAATATTATTTTTTTTACAATAACAAGCTTTGGTTTTACAGGCTTTCTTACAATTACACGGTTTTTTAAGATTAGTTGGGAATGGGCTTTTGTTCATAAATAAAGGTAGCAAAGTACCATTCTCTAATTTATAACCGAAATTCGTAAAATCTAATGTTTCATATTGGGGATTCAAAGCATTTTTCCAAATGTATGTCTGAGCAGAAGCTCTAAGTGCATGCAATTGCAAGGCATCTGATGTACACGGAATTTTAGATAAATTAATATTAGTGCCAAAGCAACGAGAAAAAATTATTTGTCTAGCTTCATCCGCAGTGCTACCTTTTTTACCCAAAATATTTAAATACAAGCTTTCTAAACCTTTTAACTCTTTACTACTTAATTCTAAGCCATTGCCAAGAGGGACTAAAGCATCACGATTTTCTTTAATTTTTATTATTTCTAAAGCTTTTTTTTTGGTGCCAATTTTACTAGTCGTATCACAACCCGTAAATACGTGTAAAGCAGGTAAAACTTCACAAACCGGGTATGTTAGAGAATCAGCTGCTGTGTGACACGAAAGAAAGCGTGATTTTTTATTATTAATTTCCATCCATAGTCCGGAACAACCACTTCATTTCAACCGTGACCAATAATAAATACATAGTACAAAAACATCAGTGTCCACACTGTGCATTATTATTTCAAAATTCACCTGAACATTATAAGCAGCGTGACAAAAAATTCGAGTATCAGCCTCAATGTGATTGTTTAGTAATTCTGGTACCTCTACAATTTTTTCACCTTGAATACTGAAACATTTATAAACATCATCAAAGCCGCCAGAAATAATCATTTCTTGGTTATCAGTAAGTGAAACGTACTGTAAAATATTCTGACACAGAAATCTTACTAACTCAAGCTTATTTTTCGGACTAGTTAGAAATGTTGAAATATTTTTAGGTATTTTAGTATTGGGCCTTTGAATAACTATTTCACATGTTTTTATATTTTTGGCTCTTAATGCAGCTTCTAAATACTTAATACTTTGGTTGTCATACCTATCAAATACAATATCAACACGCGTAACTTTCGGCTTTTTAAAATATGATGTAACATAGTTAAAAAATGTTGTAGCAAATTCACCAAACGTTGCATGTTTAGATAGCTGCAATCGATGTACTACTGTCATTCCATCAAACAAATGTATTTTAGAATTTAAAGAAGAAAATGAAGTCAGCGAACTTACAGTACACAGAGTTTCTTTCTCAATCTCTTCCATTAAAACAGATTTAACAGATTTTTTATAAAAACCATCATTATCAGCAAGAGCTTTTGGATAATTTAATAACTCATGTTTTGCTAAAGAATCTATATTATATTCTCTTTGAACACACAGCATTAGAAGTTGTTGAATATCGATTAATTTATCGATTAAGTTTAGTTTTTTCAGTATACGCAAAATTTTTCACTAAAACTCTAGGTATACGATCGAAAATACTTTTATCTTTACGAATAATACGTTCTTCCATAAAAGATTGTAATAAATTTTCACCATTTTCTTTCAATGGTAATAGATATTTGCTTGTCTCTTCACTTGCTAATTGCCCATTTGAAATATTAAATAAGCTTGTGCAGCCTGTCATATTATCAAATATATTTTTACTCTTTAAATTATTTACAATAATGTCAACATCAGTATCGTCTCTTTTAATTTGACTCGGACTCCATTCATGATGACTAAATGCGCGAATATCATTTGCAGGATCATCTTCATGTAAATCACAGAAAGATAAAAATGATTGGTAAATCGAATTTTTTAAAGG